ATCAGTTTTATAACCTTACAAAACTTTCTAAAATCCTGCTGTCAGTAATGCTTCCATTTTTTTCCTAGATACTTTTTGCTATGTAGTTTGTCAGTGGTTAGATTCAAAAGTTGTATACCATAATGTTGTAGGAGATCTTAGCTGCTAACCAGAAGAGGAACTGGAAAGATATCTGCAGCGCTAGCTCCAGGCTAGCTTGCTCTGACAGATCCTGAGAAAGTTAAAGTAATCCCTCTCCCCAATCCCTGTGTCTAGACCCTGCTCTCTATACAGGTATGTCTATGCAAGATGAGGCCTCTGTTAATGTTCTTAAACCATTTATATAATTATAGGATGTTGTCAAAATTTATGTGAGTGTTTAATGTCTACAACACCTACGTAAATCTCCATTATGCTCCATAAAATTTACCGAAATCTAAAACAGTATGGTATGCTTCCTACCAGAAGCAGTATGTTTCAGGCCATACTTTTATATGTTGGGTTATTTCTCCACATTTTTTTTTCCCCAAGAAAGTCGAACAAACCCCCACCAAATAAGGGTGCAATAAGGCAGTAAATGAAGAACTGTGTTCCTGAAAGATATTTGCCTTAAAAATATCTACAATAATTATCTTTTTTTGCATCTGTATCATCTTCCTCTGCTAAGGTATATGCTAATTTTATTATATCACTTTATATCATCACATTATGCATGATTATGTAGATTATATTGTCATCTTTGTTTATTTAAGAAATATTTTTATGTTCAGAATCGCCTTTTTAAAATCAAACTTTTTTACAATGAACTACAGTAACTTTCTTTGTCCTTGGATGACATACTCCTTAAAAGTATCCACCTTCTGGGATGCTGAAGTCTTGTTAATAAATCCTAATCTGGATACAAGCCAGAGCTTCTGAGTCCTTGGAAGCGTGGTTCTGACAACAGAAAGGCTGATGTTTTTCTCTGTGTACTTTGAGTGCCATGGTCTGTCACTGAACAAAAAAACAGGAAAAAGATGTACATCCATTCTCCCTGAGCAATGCAAGAGGATAAGTTCAACCCTAGTATTAGCGTCAGTGGATTGTGTCCATTGACACCAAGCTGAATTTGACCCTCAAAAATATAGAAGCTGCAGAAGGCAGCTTTATGATTTATAATATGTATTAGTTCTGCATTGCTAAACCATCATTACAATTTACCTTTTGTCCTGGTTTCAGGACAGGCACAAAATCCAGCCACCTACCCGTTTATCAGTATGATAATAAAAAGAATTAATCACCAAAGGCTGATAGAATTCAGTTAATTTCTCTGTTCGCCTATTTCCTTGACCACAGTATGTGGAAGAAGGAGATCTATGAATCAGAACATTTGATATTTTGTATTTGTGTCACTTTAAAATACTTAATCCAAATCTGGAGAAGGAGAAAGTTTTGTTTTCTTTGAAATACGTAAGCCCTGCACCTACTTTGTCAGCAAAGCCACTCAGCATCCCCAGGATAAAGGTGTTTATCTAATTAGGCACAAAGTAAATATTTTTTTATATTTTTAATACCCAAATATTTACAAAAGAATACCATGAACAAATGGGAACCAAAATGTGAGTCCCCCATTATTATTAGGAGGAGGAGTGCAACTTAAATTCTGTTTTAAAGCAGAGGTATCTTGTAATGTATCACATGCAGACCAAAACAACTTGGGTAATTTCAAAATAAACATAAAATTGTGATGATTAGTACATAGTACTTTGGTCATTTCCATTCACTCAACTAAAAGTAACTACGTTTTCTCATTAGTGACTGTCGTGGTTTAACCCCAGCCGGCAAGTAAGCACCACGCAGCCGCTCGCTCACTCCCCCCTTGGTGGGATGGGAGAGAGAATCAGAAGGGTAAAAGGGAGAAAACTCGTGGTTTGAGATAAGAACAGTTTAATAATTGAAGTAAAATAAAATAGAACAGTTTAATAGGTAAAGCAAAAGCTGTGCACGCAAGCAAAGCAAAGCAAGAAATTCATTCCCTACTTCCCATGGGCAGGCAGGTGTTCAGCCATCTCCAGGAAAGCAGGGCTCCATCACGCGTAACAGTTACTTGGGAAGACAAACGCCATCACTCCAAATGTGGTCTGTCCCCCCCCTTCCTTCTTCTTCCCCCAGCTTATATACTGAGCATGATGTCATTTGGTATGGAATAGCCCTTTGGCCAGTCTGGGTCAGCTGTCCTAGCTATCCTCCCTCCCAGCTTCTTGTGCACCTGGCAGAGCACAAGAAGCTGAAAAGTCCTTGACTAGTGTAAACTCTGCTCAGCAAGAACCAAAACATCAGTGCGTTACCAACATTATTCTCATCCTAAATCCAAAACACAGCGCTCTACCAGCTACTAAGAAGAAAACTAACTCTATCCCAGCTGAAACCAGGACAGGGAGAAAACTCGTGCGTTGAGATAAGAACAGTTTATTAATTGAAGTAAAGTAAAATAGAACAGTTAAAGAGGTAAAGCAAAAGCTGCGCATGCAAACAAAGCAAAACAAGGAGTTCATTCCCTACTTCCCATCGGCAGGCAGGCGTTCAGCCATCCCCAGGAAAGCAGGGCTCCATCACGTGTAACAGTTACTTGGGAAGACAAACGCCATCACTCCGAATGTTCCCTCCTTCCTTCTTTTTCCCTCACTTACATACTGAGCATGATGTCATGTGGTATGGCATAGCCCTTTGGCCAGTCTGCGTCAGCCCCCCTGGTTGTGTCCCCTCCCAGCCCTGCCCCGTGCACCCGGCAGAGCATGGGAAGCTGAAAAGTCCTTGACCAGTGTAAGCACTGCTTAGCAACTGCTTACCAAGAACCAAAACATCACTGTGTTATTGACATTGTTCTCATCCTAAACCCAAAACACAGCGCTATACCAGCTACTAAGAAGAAAATTAACTCTATCTCAGCTGAAAATGAGAAAGGTCTGTTCTTTGTCACTACTTGTAGCTCTGGATTCCTTACAAGAATTGATCTTTTTTCAGTCATGCCTTACTGTAAAATAGCAAGTTAAATGTAGACTGTGAGTTTAGTGTAAAATGGGTGAAAAATGCTTTCAATATACAAAAGTTAGAACTAAGAGTTTTATTTTCTAAATATAGATTAATTGAATAAATAGATACCAAATACAGCTGACAACTAATTACATGGTGGAACCCATAACCCATTGGCTATTGTGAATCCGTTTTTATTTTAACAGCCTCATCAAAGAGAGATATACAATCCTTTCTACATCCTTATATTTCATTTCAGACACAGAAACTGTCAATTTTTTTAAGGCTTTTCATTAACCTATGTAATCAAATGTCTGATCAGCTGCTGGATCAACACCATTAATTCTAGTCCACTCAAAAATGTCTCCAGGGCAGAGAGCTCAGGATTATTTTTTCTGAGCATTGGTTTCTGCTTTCAGTTCTTTCACTAATTTCTGTTTGCCACTGTTCTGATTTTTCAGCCACCAGTAACTGCATCTCATAAATGGTTATGCTGATTCTGGCATGACAGTACTTTCTCTTATTGTTGACACTTCACAGTATTCTTTCTATTTGATATTTCAGTTGCCTGATCATGGACATCTCTATTCCCTAGTCTTAATTGCAAGGTCTGCACTGGCTAGCACCCTAATTAGACAAGGCACAGGTACTCAGGTGCTCAAGGTTTGGTCCCAGTCCTGAGTCAGGGCAAACTCAAGTTTACTTTAGGCTGACAACCCATCACTTTAAGGATCTCAATATTTTAATATTTTCAATCAAATCTCAGTTTCTTGCAACAATAAGTCTGAAGTCTTGCTGAAAAATGCTCTTCATAGGTAATATTTAATGTATGAATTATATACGTTATGATGCAATGCTCAGATCAAATACAAAATTTAAAATAAGTAACCATCCCTCCACACTTAAATCAACAAAAGTAATAAAAGTATTAATAAACTTATTGTATCGATTCACGTTATATTATTTTTTATTTTAGGAAATTGCTTAGATAATAGGCCTGTCAAGTGTCTCTAAGCATAATAGACTACATTTTAAAAATTATATACTTACATAATTATATAGCCACATTTTACTGACCAGTGAACAAGATCGGAATTACCTTCTTGGGTTAGTTATTTTCCATTATTAAAATCATGACATCTCAATCTTTCTCTCTCACTTGTTTTCATGTAAAATCAGAAGTTATTTTTTCGGTGCTCGGGGAATTCTGATCATTAAAGGACATATCTCTCTTAATGTTTTGGGCCCGATGAGTTTGGAAAAGAATGTCCAATGCTGAGGCTCAGTAAGAGCCAAATTTTGTACATGGAACAGCTCAACAGACTAGTATTTTTTCACCTTTATTAATTTAGCATTTTTCAGAGCTGTCGTGACTTGCTATTAATGAGCAATCAAATAGCACCACGTAAAGAGGGGAGACTGACTGCTGCTATTCCTGTCTTCCAAAGCTCAAATATTTTGCTAATCTTTTTTTTTTTTTTTTCTTTTTGGTGTCTTTTAAATAGATCCACTAGGTGGTGCTTGAAATAAGCTACCCCGGTGTGACTCGCTCAGGATTGCCGAGCTCATCTCAGAAATCGAGGGGCAACTGGAAATTATTGTGGCTGTGAAATGTTAAACTGTAATTCATTGGTCAAAACTCCAACAGGAATTTTCTTGGCAACAGGAATAAGATTGCTATCCACGTATTTGGGTTCCTCCTTTTCCAAAATCCAGTTTTCTGTTTCAGAGGTAAAATTATGTGTTCACCATTATGGAGATGTACTGCTCTCCATTATGAATTTCAGTATTCCTTCACTTCTGGTACTCTTAAAATAGATCATTTTCCATTAGTATTTTTGGCATTTGAAGAAGAAGTTTATGTCCAGACTCAAAGTGATTTGGATAAGTAGTTCTTTAAATATATTAAATAAAGACAAAGCTTGGCATTCCCCAAGTGCCTCACCAGTACTGAAAGAAGTTTAACTTCCAATAAGAAATGAAGGAAGACTGTTGCGATTTTACTGCGCATGGCCAGGGGAAGGTGCAGGAAAGCACGTGTGGCCAGTTATGCAGGTATGAATTACGGACACTGTGCCAAGTTCCTTGTGGAGACCAAGGCTTTTCTCAGGTTATTCTTTAGCCATTTGCTATGCAATCACTCTTCCTAATGTAAACCAACTTCTTCAGAGTTTTGAAAAAAGCACAGCCACTACAGACTTCTCAGTCAGCTGTGCACCAGTCGGTTGCCTGGTAATTCCCCTGCCTTTCAATCTGACAGTACAAGCTTCTAGCACAATTCCTGACATTGCTTCTCTGTCAAAGAGGGTGTTAGTCCTGTCAAACACCTGCCCAGCGCCCCAGTGGGAGCTCCAGAGCTCCTCCAGCTGCCAGGAGAAGCTGTGACACCTTCAGCCCTTGGGCCTCTCCCTCTGCCTTGAAGGCGAAATTCTGGCAATCCAGGCTTTGCTCGCCGTGTGGTTTTGAGGGAAGTGCCCCTCAAAAGGCATTTCTCTGTTTTTTGCAAACCCCAGGAGAACAAACTCCTCTAACTCATATGGTGAGCAGGGAATAGATGGAGAAGGAGAGGGAGGAAACAGGATGAACGTGTCCCTATCCTTTTTGCTTGCCTATGGTGGCAGGCAGGTGGCTGAGGGCAGCTGCCCGGGCCATACCTGTGCAGTCCTGACACTCGCACAGCCCATGCAAGTCTTGCCTGAGAAGTAGGCCAGCAAAGGTGAGACCCATGAGAGAGCTCTGATTGCCAGGGCAGGTCTAGGAGGGCTTCACTTTTGGGGTGAGGGAGCTGGAGAGCTGAAGTGGGGGAGCCCGGTGGGAAAGTGAAGCTGGGGAGGAATCAGAGGTTTCCTAATGATGATTACGAAATTGCAAGTAACCACAGTTGGAATAGTTTAAGAGACACAGGACAAATTTAGAGTAAGCCAGGCTTCTGTTATTCATAGAAAAAATGTTTAAAATTAACGTTGAGGCAGGGTATGAAGGAAAAGCATGTGTGAATTGCCAGTGGAAGAGACTCTAGACAGTCTATTCTAAAAGTCTCTAAAGGGTGCACATGTGAATCCAGAGAATTCAGACCTAGTTATTGATAAATACACTGAAGTCAAATGTAATGTGTCATTTAGGTGTAACGAAAAGTGGTTTGCTCATGGCCAAAGCACAAAGGCTCTTTTTATCACAAGGGTGGGAAGCAGAGTAAGATATATAATCTAGGGTGATGTATATGAGAAGCTAATCTTTCACAGTATGGCTACATCATGGCAGGTATTTTTCATGTTTAAAACATAGTCTATGAAGAAACAGCCTAAGGATATTGATCTCACAGAAAAAAAGAAGAATTTAGGTCACTGGAAAGATATAGAGAAGAAAGTAATCATAAACTCAGCATTTTGTGCAAAGATGATTTATAGGACATGAAAAAATAGGCTTAATTAGCTGCAATGCATCTTGAAATAATGCTGATATCAGTAATCTGAAATATGCAGATTAGAAAATGACAGTGCAACCCTCAATTAATAGGAAGTTGATAGTTCAAAAGCTTCCTCCTTTTTCTTTGTTATTGCTGTTCTCAAATGGATACACAAATTTTATATATATAGTATTTTCTTTATTCAGTTTGTTGTTGCTGCTTAACAACTGTTTAACACCAGTTTTAGTTTTGTATCTGAGTATCTTCATTTTTCAATATGTATACTGCCAAAAATTAGTCTTTTTTTTTTTTTTTAAAACTAGAAGTCACATTTGGGTTGATGGGGTTAGTTCGTTTTATTAATTATTTTATGTATTTATTAAATGGGAGTAGTTAACAACCTAATTCTTATTTTACTGCTTCTGTTTCATTTTCACAGCTAAAGAGGAGACTGATAAAATATTTGCTCAGATGATGTCAGTGGCAGAATTACCAGAAGAGCCACTGACCAGCGACGTGAACCTGCCGCATAGGGAAGGACAGAACTGTAGGCGGTCATCTCGACAGAGAGCCAAGAAGGAAGCCCTTGGCTCTGTGAGTCCTCAAAGAGGAAGGGAGCTTCTCCCTGTGCCAGGCTCGGGACAGAGCGTCTCCAAATCCACATGCAGAAGGAACATACTCTGATCTCTGAGCTTTAACATCGCACTTTTTGTTATCATCAGCTGTAATATGATTTGAAGAGAGAGAATTCAGGCTCAGGAGCTGAAAAAGCACTGAACAGATTGTATTTGCCTTGGTAAGACCTCAGCTAGGAACAGGAAAGAGTTAATTTCTATTTCAGTGGCATAAGGTTATGTAAATTTTCACTTGATTAAACAAGTGGTTTAGCTAGTTTGTCATAATTTCTTGCAAAAACAACTAAAAGCAATAACTGAGTTTCACGATCAAAAGAAGAAAACATGGCTTTTTTAGTATTTAATGCTAAGGTAGGACAAGTGATGTTTCCTTCAGTAAGTTTGTAAATTTTCCAATGCAAGCTAACTATAAAAATGTCTAGGTTAAGTAAGGAATTTTTTTTCCCCTGCCATGTTCTGAAATTACTGTTAGTTTTAAACTAGGCCAAATTCATTCTTGGTGTAACTCCACACAACTGAGCGATGTCAGGGGTTTAGAAACATTTTCTGGGGTGATCTGTAAGACAGAAAGTATAAAGTTTAGAGAGAAGTCAGTCTGAGGGCAGAACTGCAGAAGTATACCTTGATAGAAAGCCAGACCAACACAGTGTTTGTCAAGGGGAAGAAAAATGCTTTGCTTTGCAGGCTTTTTAAAAGCTAGTGAAATAGCAGGTAAAGATGTCCTAAAAGCATAGTTTCTATAGTTTTTCAACAGGCTCTCTCACAGAATGAAGATGATTAAAGAGGATGAATAATCATAGGGTTTGCTATGAAGGAAACATTGAGTATGTAAGGAAAACAAGCAAACAAGCAAACAAAAAGCTGGAGTGAATGGCTGTTTCTCCAAATAGAAGGAGGTTAGTAACAGGCGATCCCAGGGATCTGCATTAAGACCATATTATTTTTGTTTGGAAGCAAAGCCTTTTACCCACTTAGTCGAAAAACAGGCTGATATGAGATGGAAATAACTCTCTTAGAAATCAAAGATGAGATACCTTCCCCCTTTGCAACAAAACAGAGTTGACTAATAACTATTCTGAGATAGAATATGGTTATGTGCTCTGTTTTGTGGTTGTATTGTCGTCTCAGATACATATCAAATACCATTTATTTCCATGCAATTGGTCATACTCTTTTAGGATTGTCACATCCACTTCTTACCTCTAAAACGTTTATCACTGGCAACTAAAATATTAGTATGTCTGCCTGGCTTCTTCTCATGGATGATTAGCCAACAGTCTCCGCCTTGCAGCCTGGCCTTTCTCTGCCTCCTCTTTGATGCCATGGCAGATGTCATCATGATGACAGAGATGCCTGTTGTTTTGGCTATACCTCAACATCTATCAGGCTCCACTGTATCTTCATCCCTAGTTCATACCTCTTTTTTAACTAATTCCCTCTGCATAATGTGTCCAGGACAGAATTCTCTTTTTCTACTCACAAAACTGAAGTTCTCATTCATGTTATGGTTGTCTCATTTATTGAGACTTTTTTCTGGTCTTATCAAAATCAGTCTTGCCCTGCTCACACCTGCCCATGAGGCTGCTGTAAAGATTGCCTTTTGTGCACATCTGAAAGTGTTAGCTCTCTGTGTGCATCCTTATACTCCCATTTCTCTGTCACATCAAACCTAAAATGCTTATCCTCAAATCAAAGCACCTTTTACTGTTGCCATCTAACCTATGGCACCAGCTTTTCTTTAGCAGTGAGTTAGAATTAGGTGCAGGCCCCCTTTTGCCCTCACTGTTGGGAAAAGCTCCACAAAAGGCGTTTCCTCCGTTCAGTCCCTCCTTGAAGCTCTTGTCTGGGACATTTCCAAGCTTCTCAAGAACTAGATTGAAGACATGTAATAATTTAAGCTTATTTTTTTGACCAGTACGGTTTCACTGTTTCTTATCCTCTGTCTAACTCTTTCTTTTTGTGACATTTTTTATATGTAGATGCAGGCTGCCTGAGGCCAGGGACCAACTTGTTCTGTGTCTGCACAGAACCTAAGAGAACAGGGTAATGCAGTAACATCAACCATAGTAGTAATGCCATCAATGCATACATAATATAGAATGAATCACAGAACCATAGAATGAATCACAGAATGCTTTGGGATGGAAGGGACATTTAAAGGTCATCTAGTCCACCCCCCCTGCAATTGGCAGGGACATCTACAACTAGATCAGGTTGCTCAGAGCCCCATCCAGCCTGGCCTTGAATGTTTCCAGGGATGGGGCATCTGCCACCTCTCTGCGCAACCTGTTCCAGTGTTTCACCACCCTCATTGTGAAAAATTTCTTCCTTGTATCTAGTCTGAATCTACCCTCTTTTAGTTTAAAACCATTACCCCTTGTCCTATCGTTATTGGCTCTGCTAAAAAGTCTGTCCCCATCTTTCTTATAAGCCCCCTTTAAGTATTGAAAGGCTGCAATAAGGTCTCCCCGCAGCCTTCTCTTCTCCAGGCTCAACAACCCCAACCCTCTCAGCCTCTCCTCATAGGAGAGGTGCTCCATCCCTCTGATCATTTTTGTGGCCCTCCTCTGGACC